CCAAAACAAATAATATCTAAAACAATTTTTTTTTTTTTAATTCTTCACGGGGCGGGTTCGGGGCGGGGCATCTCCGCCCCGCGACTCGCGACGGGGCGACGAACCTCGCCTCGCCCCACCCCGCCAACCCGTTCGGGGCGGATTTTTTTGCCCCATTCGGGGCGGGGCCCCACGGGGACGGGGCGGGGTGGGGAAAATTGACATCTCTAATCACCACTTCATGAAAGTTCGCACACTTGTCTAGCCTTGTTTGACTCTCTTTATTTGAATTTTTTTTTATTTTTCATACTTATTTTTCAACTACACATTAACATAATAAAATATTTTGTACTTAAAACTATTTTTTTTTTCTAATTTTTAACCACACATTCTCCAAAAAATCACTATTCAAAAAATCATTTTCCTTCAATTTCTTTTTATAATGACCATCAAACAAGGACTTATATTCTAAGTAACGTTATTCGATACCACTGATCTAAGAATTAAATAGTGATAATTACATCATATTAACAATAAATTTATTTAAGTGTAAAGTCACATAATTTATTTAGCTCCTATTTGGTATGAATTATAATTATAATTTTAATTAAAGTCAAAGTCAAAGTCAATATTTAGCCTCTATTTGACAACCATTATTTTAAAACTTTTTTTTTAACATACTCTTTTTCAACCACACATTGTAAAATAAAATATTTTGCACTTACACATAATTTTTTCTTACTTTTTACCTACACATTATCCTAAAACTCACTATTCAAAATATTGGTTTGGCCAAATAATGACCATCAAACATGAGTTTAATTTTAACCACATATTTTATGGGACCAACAACTTTATAATCACATATTTTATCAACTTTTATCAAAATTTACTAAAAATCTGATTTTAATTTCCACCAAATAGGAACTTTATTAGACGTAACAAGAATGGACATCTAAACTAATGTTCTATCATCACTGATGTTCGAGTGCATTTCGATAATTTTGAAGAAACGCATGTGTGTATATAACTCCACACGTCAAAAAAATATAATAAAAATGTTATTTTTTTAATAAGAAATTAATATAAAAATGGAAGTGGTGTTACTTGATTCAATTGTGTCAAATAGAAGACAAGTTGCACTCACTCAAAGCTGAGTAACCCGCAATGGAACCTAATTGCAATGAAAATTATTGTCTAGCAATTTTTATAAATC